TTGATAGAAGTCATGTATCGCCCCATTTCGGTGGATACAAAAAAAATTGGATACAAAAAAAAACTGTGACTGTTGTGAGCGAGCTATCCTGATTAAAACTTCCAAACAGGACAATTTTCACAATAAAACTTAAGGCCATGTTTTATTTGCTGATCAATGGACAAAAAAAAGGCAGTGAGTTTTCTTCCTAACCCCCCCCACCCCAGTTATTTCCTTGAAAGTCTGTGCTCGTAAAAATCACGAAAAAGTTGGAAAGACGGAATTGTTGAAACTTTTAAATATATTTTACACAATCTCGTTTTGTACAAAAATACAAGTTAATTATAAACATAAAGCGATGATACTATTAGGTAAATCTTCTTTTGCGATATGCTACTATATATATATATATATGTCTATATATATATATATCTATATATATATTTTTTTTATTTATAAAACAATCTCATCACCGTTCTCACTGAGATCCGTACCAGATTGAATCACGACTAGCAAAGAATTCTACAATTACACGGACCAGGTTTTCAGCTGTAAATATTTCGATTTTAGACTGGCCAAAATGAAAGGAAAAAAAAAAGGGGGCACTGATGTCCATAAACCAACAAATAATTCGGCTAGGATGTGGCAAACACAAACACACAGATCTCTACAAGAAACCATTATCAGTACATAATTGTTGCACATATACCAACATGGAATGAAACTTTAGTGAGATGCCGTGGAAAATTCACTCGTCTTCAACCTGGCATTTTCTCTGACTTCATCGAAGGAGTACGTCTTCGTCACTACTCCGTTTTTAAACACCGTGTGAAGGAAATCCTGCAAAGGAACGCCATTCGTTAGAGCTTTAGTGAAACACAATACAGCATCTACCCCTCAAAATTTAAGACATGGCTATTTCAGCAAGCGGGACTGGCCTAGGGGAAATTTTTAGTTGGGTTTTAATATAATTTTAAATTAACATAGGCCTAATATTATATCTTTTTTAATTGTGTTTTAATTATAGTATTCTGTACTTTTGTAATTGTTTTATCTGGCTGTTAGCTGCCCTGAGTCCGTAAGGAGAAGGGCGGGATATAAATACAATAAACATAAACATAAACAACATAAACAAGTGACTTAAATAAGCCATTATAAGATCTCGAGTTACATTCGTTTAGTGACCCGTTTGAAGTTACAACGGCACTGAAAAAAACACTGGTTTATGACCGTTTTTCACACCTACAACCGTTGGGACCATCCCCATGTCACGTGATCAAAATTCAGACACGTGGCTCCTGACTCGTTTTGAGTCCGTTGTCACGAGTCAGTTTTGATTCATGAATAATTTTCAGTCAGCTGTCATAAGGCAACTGACTCATGACTCATATTTATGACGGCTGCCGTGTCCGTGTGTGTGTGAGACGTGATCCCCTTTTGTGACCTTCTGACAAGCAAAGTCAGTGGGAGAAGCCATATTCACTTAACAACCGTGTTACTAACAACTGCAGAGTTTCACTTAACAACTGTGGCAAGAAACTCATTTAACAACTGTCTTGCTTAGCAACAGAAAATTGGGGGTCAATTGTGGTCGTGAGCCGAGAACTACTTGTAAGTCAATGCATAACTAATGCTAGTTTCTATTGGTGTACAGATCAGATATATACGAAAGAAATTTAACTAGATATTAACAGGCAGAAGCTACTGAAAATTGTCAATTGCTTTTCTATTCCCTAGCTGCAAATTAAACTGCTCTGGGACTTCAGAATTCAAACAGACAAGCACCTGCAACATAACACCCCGGACTTAACAGTTGTCGATAAGAAAGACAAAAAAGTCTGGATAGTGGATGTGGCAGTGCCTGGAGACAGCAGAAGAGACAAGAAAGAACTGGAGAAGATAACAAAATACAAAGACCTATGAGTAGAAATAGAAAGACTGTGGCAAAGGCAAGCAAGAGTAGTACCAATAGTAATAGGCGCCTTGGGTACAATCCCAAAACAACTGGAGCACCACTTGAACGCTATCGGCATTGACAAATTCACCATTAGTCAATTGCATAAGGCGGCCTTACTAGGAACGGCTTCCATCCTGTGGCGATATCTGTAATACCATCAAACATCCACATCTGCCTATCCCAGGTCCTTGGGAAGGACTCGATAGGTAGACAAAAATGCCAAATCCAGTCTGAGCATCTGGTTGATTGTGTGATGATCAATAATAATAATAATAATAATAATAATAATAATAATTATTATTATTATATAATAATAATAATAATAATAATAATAATAATAATAAATCAATAATTTAAAAACACGGAGGGTCGAGGAGATGTTCCGCTGAGACCCGTCGAATGCTCGATAACTTCTTACGTTCGGACAAACACAAAGACGAGATTTTGGGGTAGCAATAAATAGGGATAGGGGGGATTCTGACATTTCCTTTACCTTCGTAAATTGAACCTGTCCGTATTCTTCTAGATCCCCTTTGCCTTCTTCTAGTGTAACAAAGTCTCCGTTCGGCATTCTGTGCAAGGACAATCTTCCTTTCTTGGAACGTTTGTTGGGATCGGCTACCGGATCCTTAAAGACATTCACCTGGAAGCCAAATTTAAAAGGAATTCACCCAGGCTGACCTCAGCGAGTTCCCGTTTTCCTCTCAAGTAAAAATGACATTTAGAGAACATACCCCGAGGCCATTAGTAACCACGTAACTGCATTTGAACGAGCAGTTCAAGAGATCTCTGGTTAGTTTCTGCAGAAGGGCTCCACCCGACCCGAAAGCGATGTTTTCAATGCTCCATTTCTGCTGTTTCATGCCCTCCACGATCTGGAAGCGACAGAAGACGCTTTTTTAAGCATTGCACAAGCAAGGTTACAGATTCTAAATTAAGCCTCATAATGTACATGCATCGACTCTACTTTTTTTAAAAAAGATCATTTAATGTGTTGTGCCATTTTTGCGGATAAATGCAACTTCCACAAACGAAGAGCGGTTTTGTAAGTTACGTTTACCCACCCAAATTGCGTAAGACCGTTTTTGTTTTGTGCAAGTTGCGTTTATCCACAAAAAAAGAATAAGATAACATCCTGTCGGGTTCCTGTTAAGAAATATTCTGGAATAGCTAGGCAATCTGCTGTTAACTGTCTTCCAACCCGCCTGCTACGATATTCAATGTTTTGGAAGGTCTGAGCATCTCTGGAATTTTAAGAAGAGTTCCAGACATCACCACAAATAAAGTCAGAATAACAGAGTTGGAAGGGACCTTGGAGGTCTTCTAGTCCAGCCCCCTGCTCAGGCAGGAAAGCCTATACCATTTCAGACAAATGGCTGTCCAGTCTCTTCTTAAAAACCTTCCAGTGTTGGAGCATTCACAATTTCTGGAGGCAGCTTGTTCCACTGGTTAATTGTTCTAACTATCAGGATATTTCTCCTTAGTTCCAGGTTGCTTCTCTCCTTTGTTAGTTTCCATCTGTTGCTTCTTATCCTGGACTCAGGTGCTTTAGAGAATAGCTTGACCCCCACTTCTTTGTGGTAAGTCTACGGTGGCAACGTTAGGAGTCTCCCTGATTTATGTTTTCTCCTTTTGATGTCACCTTGCTAAAAAATGAGGGGGGAAAAACCCCAATTTATGCCTGCCGTGTTGTTGTTTTTCTCCATTTTTCCTGTAAAAAAAAATTCCTCGGACAGCCAGGTAGAATTATTCATAACAAAAAAAAAAAAAAACTCACACAGAGGGGCTGAAAGTTCTGTTGGTGTCCCAGGTTTAAAAAGAAAATCTGCTTAAAAATAAATTGGGGGAGGGGGAGAGAGAGAAAAAAAAGACTGGGTTGGTTTTGAGTGGATGGCCCTAGGAGATATCCAATAGCAACCTAACTACTAGGTGTTTATTCAATCTGGAAAGGTCAAGATTTTGCAAGATGACCCCTTCCATCCAGCTGCTTCTCTTCTTGTACACATAATCCAAACCACAAGGAACCATTTGGAAAATGCAAGTCACTTCTATTTCCCCCGCTGAAAAGACAACGGGAAAGCTTGTGGGTTTTCCTTAGAACGGTGTGTTCAAGGCTAAATCACACTTTGTACATGTCAAGTTAACGCCCTAAACAAGGTCACCAAAAAGCATCACCCGGGCTAAGAGGGTGACCTTCAGCATGGGATGGGCTACTGTCCTCAAGTTAACTCCTGCAAGTTATTTTGGTTTTCTCTCTATTCGGCTTCCTGTTAATATACAGCAAAGAGGATGTGGCGAGATTTTGCAAGATTCCACGCTACTTGTAGGTTCTCGTGAGCTTCTGTACCAACTGTGGGGTCATACATCTTCTCAGAGGTCAACATTTGGGGTCTCTCCTGAATTGCGAAAAAACCCAAACAAACGCAGCTCTGATTGAAAATTGAGGGGGGAAACTGCGAGTGAAAGAAAATAAGATAAGAGGGGGGGAAAAAAAGGCAACTGGAGTCATTTTAAGCTTTTAGTTTCAGCTGCTTGCTGCAAATACAGCTTTTTTTAAGCACTGTGCTATTAAGACACGATGTATTTTTCCACTGAACCTCAGAGGGAAATATTTCTCCAACTTTTAACATCCGTTTTGCCTAGACAGGTTTGAGAACACGACCACCAATGAAGGTATGGTTTGTCTTTAATGGTACCCACGTTGAAAGGCAACTGAAGTGCTTCTCTAAAAGTTTTAACAGAATGACAGAGTTGGAAGGGACCTTGGAGATCTTCTAGTCCAGCCCCCTGCTCAAGCAGGGAGAACCTATACGATTCCAGACAACTGGCCCGTCCAGTCTCTTCTTTAAAAGCCTCCAGGGATGGAGCACTCACAACATCAAAATTAATCAGAAAAAAAAAAAATCACACCTCTTGCAATGTGTTGATATCCACACCGTCTCCTTGAATAATTCTGAGGTAAGGTGGCAAGACTTTATAGCCTTTTGCATTTTCTACAATGGGGAACTTCTTTCCGAGAATTTCCAGAACCTAGCAAAAAAAAAAACAAAAGAAAGAAAGAAAGAGAGAGAGAGAGAGAGAGAGAGAGAGAGAGAGAGAGAGGGAGAGAGAGAGAGGGAGAGAGGACGAGAAGAGAGAAATATTAGCAAATCAGCCTGTCATTCCATTAAATAAACCAGGCAGATAACAAATTCAAAACAGAAGTCATATAACAAAAAGATCTAAAGCAGGCATGTCAAACTGCCGGCCCGCGGACCGGATGCATCATACTGCATCATACATGCATCACGTGACGTCACGAGTTTGACATGCCTGATCTAAAGGAAGAAACATTCAAATCCAGTCGTTCTATTAAAATTATACCGGAAAGAATTATACCCTTGGATTAAGGCTTGCTGAAGTTAAGTTTTGAATGAAGAATATTTTGCTTCACTTTACAGCATCTCTTAGCTTCCACCGACAGATGTTATCGGCATCTATCAGTGGGAACTGAAACCCATATATAGTTAAGTCCTCGACTTACCGACATTCGTTCAGTGACTGTTCGAAGTTACAACGGCACTGAAAAAAGAGACACGACTATTTTTCACACACACCACTTGCGCCATCCCCATGGTCCCACAATCAAAATTCCAACGCTTGGCAATGGGAATGTATATAGGATGGCTGCAATCTCCCAATTTTGGCCTCAATTATAGTCATAAGTTGAGGACTTAGCTGTATCTAAAAGTGTGTGGTGGACACGAGTGTAAAACAATACTAATGTTCTTTGTCCTACAGCAAAGGTAGGCAACCCTGGCTCTTTTATGACTCATGGACTTCAACTCCCAGAATTCCTCAGCCAGCATGGCTCAGCTTGGAAACCTCTCCCTTTCCCCTCAGCGTGGCTGGCTCAGGAATTCTGGGAGTTGAAGTCCACGAGTCATAAAAGAGCCAAGGTTGCCTAGCCCTGGCCTACAGGTTCCCTCAAACAGGTGGTTTTTTTAAAAAACAGAGTAAATTTTAGGAAGGACTAATTACAATTATCCTTGACTTACGACCACGACTGAGCCCCAAATTTCAGTTACTACGCGAGACCATCGTTGAGTCAATTTTGCCCGATTTTACCACCTTTCTTTCTTGCCCAAATTGTTAAATGAGTCACTGCAGATGTTAAGTGAGTTAACCTGGTTGTTAAGTGAAATCGGGCTTCCCCTTTGACTTTGCAGTGACTCACTTAACGTCTGTGTCCAAAAAGGTAACAAAATGACTCACTTAACAAAAACGCTTTAGGCTTAGCAATGGAAATTCTGGTGGTAAATCAAGGAATTATCTGTATATTTTGTGTAAGTGGGTTTAAATCTTGTCGGGTTCCTATAAGTCAAGGAAATTCCTGGTATTTAACGGTGCATTGAATTCTGTATATCCGTCCTATCTAACCGATTCTTTCTAAGAAGGGCACGTGCTTTTAGAAAAGTCATTTTAAGAATGTAAACCCCAGCAGCAAAAGCCACAATTGTTAAAAGGGTAAAAACAAAACCGCCAGAAACATCAAAAGCACACGCCGTCCTTTATCTGATGCTGACAGGTAGTCCTTACAGGGGTGCCTGAAGGCTAAAAGGAAGGAACATATAATTAATGCGTTATCTGGGGTGATCGCTCCACTAACACTACCCTGTGTAACACAGGCAGTCCTCGACTTACAACAATTCATTTAGTGACCATTCAAAGTTACAACAGCAGTGAAAAAAGTGACTTATGACTTTTTTCACACTTACGACCGTTGCAGCACTCCCATGACGTGATCAAAATTCAGACGCTGGGCCACCGACTCACATTTATGACGGTCGCAGCGTCCTAGGGGTCACGTGTTCCCCTTTTGCGACCTTCTGACAAGCAAAGTCAATAGGGGAAGCCAGAATCACTTAACAACCGGGTTACTAACTTAACCACTGCAGGGATTCACTTTGTAACCGTGGGAGGAAAGGTCGTAAAATGGGGGGCACTCAACAAATGTTTCACTTAGCCACGGAAATTTTGTGCTCAAGTGCGGTCGTATGTCGAGGACGGCCTGTGTTTAGAATACGTGGGCACGCTGAAGAATGCAGAAGCTTGGCTGAAGGAGCTAAGCGGCCTACGCTGATTGAATCATTTAGCAATAACTAAATAATAATAATAATAATAATAATAATAATAATAATAATAATAATAATAATAATAATAATAATAATAATAATAATAATAAAAAAGTTGGAAGGGACCTTGAAGGTCATCTAGTCCAACCCCCTGCTCAGGCAGGAAACCCTACACCATTTCGGACAAATGGCTGTCCAGTTTCTTCTTAAAAACTTCCAGTGTTGGAGCATTCGCCGCTTCTGGAGGCAGGTTGTTCCACTGGTTAATTGTTCTCACTGTCAGGAAGTTTCTCTTTAGTTCTAGGTTGCTTCTCTCCTTGATTAGTTTCCATCCGTTGCTTCTTGTCCTGCCTTCAGCCGCTTTGGAGAAGAGCTTGACTCCCTCTTCTTTGGGGCAGCCCCTGAGATACTGGCACGCTGCTATCATGTCCCCCCTTGTCCTTCTCCTCGTTAAACTAGACATACCCAATTCCAGCAACCGTTCTTCATATGTTTTAGCCTCCAGTCCCTGATCATTTTTATTGCTCTTCTCTGTATTCTTTCTGGAGTCTCAACATCTTTTTTACATCGTGGTGACCAAAACTGGATGCAGTATTCCAGGTGTGGCCTTACCAAGGCATTGTAAAGTGGTATTAATATTAACATTAAATGATTTTACTCTGGAATTTTGAAACCTGAAACCTGAACTCTGAGCTCTTACCTTCAGCACGGTGTCGAGAGGATTTCCTGAATCTGGCCGGATAATCAGGGGAGCTTCTGCACTTCTCGTCTCAATTAAATGCCTTAAATCCTCACCCCAGATTTTCTCACAAGCATTGTAAATATCGTAACTGTCACTGACCACGGAGACCGGCACGGAAGAAAAATGTGTCACAATATGTTTGAAAGCATCTTTTTCATGGTCTTTTCCCCAAGCTGTTATAGTACTGGGAAGGAGAGGAGAGGCTGATTAAATTCTGAGACAATTATGCTTGCATCCTTTTTAATACTTTTATATTTTGTGATCAAAAGTCCTTAAGGTAGTAAACAGGGATGTTTTCTTGAAGCAACTTGAGGTAATGTTTTCATTTGTGTGAAACAGTTAAAAATCTCCACTGCCTTACGGACGTTTTCTGCCACTCCTATCTCAAGCAGCTAGCCCTGTAGATTGATTGATCGTACTTAAATCATCAATTTAAATCATAGAGTAGTTTTGAGTTCCCAAAAGAGCTTAAATTAAACTTAATTTCCCCCCCCAAATGAATCTATTTAGAAAAATGGAACCCTAAATCCAGGAAACCTTGGACTAATACTCTATCCATAACAATTTTTTAATATAAAAAATCCCAAAACTGATGCATTTGAAATGAAAAGAATATTATTTTTATTATAAATTATGTGTAGTAACTTGATCGATTCCCAAAAGGAACTGAAAACACAATGAAAGTTGAAACTTTCATTTAATTTTTAATGAACTTATATAGCATCAAATAAAGCTGCAAATAAACTGAACAACTGCTAGAAATGACTGGTTGATACCGGAATTGCTAATGAAGAATACAACTATGTGGCATGTGTGGTGTTTGTTTGTTTGTTTGTTTGTGTGTGTGTGTATTGTGTGTGGCTAGATACATGATACAGACAGACAGACATAGATTAAATATAGAGAGATGCTAGATACATAGGGGATAGATGGATGGATGGATGGACGGACGGACGGACAGACAGATATAGAGGTAGAGAGATGACATAGATATAGATAGATAGATAGATAGATAGATAGATAGATAGATAGATAGATAGATGGATGGATGGATGGATGGATGGACGGACGGACGGACGGACGGAAGACAGACAGACAGACAGACAGACAGATATAGAGGTAGAGATGACAGAGATAGATATAGATAGATAGATAGATAGATAGATAGATAGATAGATAGATAGATAGATAGATAGATAGATAGATAGATAGATAGATGGATGGATGGATGGATGGATGGATGGATGGATGGATGGATGGATGGATGGACGGACGGACGGACGGACGGAAGACAGACAGACAGACAGATATAGAGGTAGAGATGACAGAGATAGATATAGATAGATAGATAGATAGATAGATAGACAGACACACAGAGACAGACATAAAGATAGACAGATAAAGCTAGAGATATATAGAGATGAGAGATAGATAGACAGACACACAGAGAGAGACAGAGGCAGAGATAGATAGATAGAGATAGATGACAGATATATAAAAATATAAAGATAGATAGACAGATAAAGCTAGAGATAAAGCTAGAGATATATAGAGATGAGACAGACAGACAGACAGGATAGTAGTCCCTGTCTATTATATATATAGTAGACAAGGACTAGAAGACAGCAATGGTGATAAATGTAGCATTACCAAGTGACACCAACATCAGGAAGAAGGTGGATGAGAAGCTGGAGAAGGACCAGGGACTGATGGAAGAACGGGGCAGGATATGGAAAGTCAAGACCAAAGTGGTCTCCGTGTCGGTAGACGCACTTGGGGCTGTGTTTCCTAATCTGGCTGAGGGGCTCCAACAGATCCCAAGAACGACATCAGAGCTCTCCACCCATTAAGAATGCCGTGCTAGGAACAACTAAGAGCCCGGGCAGAACCCCAGGTCTTTGGTAGAGGTTATATGTACATAAAATACCCATCTGTAGTTGAAGAAGTCCGATTTTCAGCAAGGCCACGTTGGCTTCAGCCAACCTAAAACTTGACTGCAACCCAAGGGAGAATCAAAACGAAAGTCTCCCTCAACGACGGTGTGAAAACCTAGTCACTCTCTGAATTTCCCACCTTGGGTTTGGGGCGATATAGGAATAGCTTGCCGTAGCTTCTCCTGAGATCTCAGTTCAAATTCAAAATCTAATCCCCGGGTCTGTGGCTCCTTAACTTGTCACGTCTGAGGTTGGTTTTAGTTTTTTTCCCCAAGATCAACCTCACATTGGCTTGATGTGGTCACCTGATCAGGATAACACCAGAAGAATAGGAAGCTATACATAATGTCAATAAAATAAAAATAAAAATAAAAAGAGACACCTGTGTTCAGCAGCTGGAACCGAATAGCCTGGGACCGGGTCTTTTGTGCCGTAATATTTCTTAATTAAAACAATTCCGGCTACCGTATCCGTGCCTTTGAAGTTCACCAAGTGTGCGGAAGCTCCGATTCCTGCAGTCTGGGAAAACGTGATTTCTGGTTTCAACTAACGGCGGAGTCCAATTCCGCAGCCCTCCCTCCAGTTTTACAACATACATCGCAAAGGCTTACTGGGCTTAGGGATCGTCCAAAGTTACGAGGCCGCTGGGAAAAAAAGTGACTTACAACCAGTCCTCACACTTACGGCCTCCCCACGCGTGATCAAAATTCGTACGTCACTTTTTTCCAGTGATGTTGTAACTTCAAACGGTCACTAAACGAACTGCTGTTAAGTGAAGGACGACCTGTATATCCTGGGCTTTGGAATATCTGTCCAGGGATGTTCACGTGGTGTCTTTTCAGCAATTATCCTCCCATATTTTTAAACAAGGTGTTAGTGACACGAGGATGGTTTTAACTTTGTCCTGTGGCTTTTCATTCCCAGGGCTAGAATTCATTTCGTTCTCTACAGGCTCCCACTTTTCATGCCATGTTTTCAGGGAGGTCTTTATTCAACTGCTTCAACTTAGTGCTTAATTGTTTGGGGCTGTACTGTAAACCCTCCGAGGGGCTCAGTGCAAAGGGGCACGCCAACGTTTTAACCCCAAGGAAGTGATTGAAGACCGTTACCTCTTGAGAAGACACCCCTCTGTAACCGAAGTCGTGGAGTTTGTAGTCCAGCCCTTCTAAGCTGCCTGAGGTCTCCAGCAAGTATTTCGCCAGGATCTTCTTCTGCTCTCTGGAGTTTGTAGCTACTGTGATGGGATACCAGGACTGCACAAGGATTGTCTGGCAAAAGAAAAAGAATGCACACCAAGGTAAAGTATAGGCTAGGCTAGGTTAAAGATAGGATAGGATGGGATGGGATAAGAAGATGGGATGGGATGGGATAGGATAAGAAGGTATGGGATGGGATGGAATAGAATAGGATAGGAAGATAGGATAGGATAAGGGATGGGATGGGATGGGATAGGAAGATAGGATAAGAAGGGATGGGATGCAATAGGATAAGAAGGGATAGGATAGGAAGATAGGATAAGAAGGGATCGGATGGGATAGGATAAGATGGGATTGGATAGGATAGGAAGATAGGATAAGGGATGGGATGGGATAGGATAGGAAGATAGGATAAGAAGGGATGAGATGGGATGGGATAGGAAGATAGGATAAGAAGGGATGGAATGGGATGGGATAAGATGGGATGGGATAGGATAGGAAGACAGGATGGGATGGGATGGGATAGGATAGGATAGGAAGATAGGATAAGGGATGGGATGGAATGGGATAGGATAGGATAAGATGGGACGGGATGGGATAGGATAGGAAGATAGGATGGGATGGGATAGGATAGGATGATAGGATAAGAAGGGATGGGATGGGATGGAATAGGATAGGATAAGATGGGATAGGATAGGAAGATAGGATAAGAAGGGATGGAATGGGATGGGATGGGATAAGATGGGATGGGATAGGATAGGATAGGAAGATAGGATAAGGGATGGGATGGAATGGGATAGGATAGGATAAGATGGGACGGGATGGGATAGGATAGGAAGATAGGATGGGATGGGATAGGATAGGAAGATAGGATAAGAAGGGATGGGATGGGATGGGATGGAATAGGATAGGATAAGATGGGATAGGATAGGAAGATAGGATGGGATGGGATGGGATAGGAAGATAGGATAAGAAGGGATGGGATGGGATGGAATAGGATAGGATAGGATAGGATAGGATAAGATGGGATGGGATAGGAAGATAGGATAAGAAGGGATGGGACGGGACGGGACAGGACAAGACAACCTTTATTGTCACTATTTTCTGTGACCACACTGGAACACATTACAAAAATTAAATTCTGATGCCTCTCTCAAAAAAAATATATATGCTCCTGATCTTGTAAGGAAATCTAAGTGTGTGTGTGTATAAAATTAAATTCTGATGCCCTCTTTCAAAAGAATTATCAGGAGCATATATATTTCTTTGCAGAGAATTTAATTTTATACACAGAGAGAGAGAGAGAGAGCTAGATTTCCTTACAAGATCAGGAACAAAGATTACAAGAGAACTAATTCTCGGCAAGAGAACTGTATAGGCAGTCCTTGACTTAGCAACCGTTCATTTAGCAATTCTTCAAAGTCACAACGGCGCTGGAGATTCTCCACGATTCTCTTAGCCAGCGCAGCGATTCGCTCAACCGTAGCAAAAAAAGGCCGTAAAAGCGGGTGACACAGCGCTGAGGAACAGAAATTCTAGTCTCAACCATGATTGTTAAGTCAAGAACAGCTTGTATTAGTGGCATCTTCTCTGACCTGATTTAATCGTAGAAATCTGTTGGAAATGATTGATTTTTACAAAAGCAATTTCATAATGTAACTACATGCTGCAGACAGCATTTATTTTGATCTTATCACAAATCTTGCTTGGAGGGGCTGCCCCAAAGAAGAAGGGGTCAAGCTATTCTCCAAAGCACCTGAAGGCAGGACAAGAAGCCACGGATGGAAACTAATCCAGGAGAGGACCAACCTAGAACTAAGGAGAAACTTCCTAACAGTGAGGACAATTAACCAGTGGAACTGCTTGCCTCCAGTAGTTGTGGATGCCCCATTGCTGGATGTTTTTAAGAAGAGATTGGACAATCATTTGTCTGAAAAGTTATGAGCAGGGGGTCTCTTCCAACCCTGTTATTCTATGTTCTATTTTCACCTTTATTCATTGGCCCAGAGAGTGGAGGAATTCATCTGATCTAGTTTCTACACTCTATGTCTTAATTTTTTTACACCTCCATCATAGCATTCCCAGTGGCAATACATGGCTGTGAATGTTGGACCATAAGAAAGGCTGAGCGCCAAAGAATTGAGGCCTTTGAACTCTGGTGCTGGAGAAGACTCCTGCGAGTCCCCTGGACTGCAAGGCGATCAAACCGGTCAGTCCTGGAGGAGATCAACCCTGACTGCTCTTTAGAAGGCCAGATCCTGAAGTTGAAACTCAAGTACTTTGGCCACCTAATGAGAAGGAAGGACTCACTGGAGAAGAGCCTAATGCTGGGAAAGATGGAGGGCAATAGAAGAAGGGGACGACAGAGAATGAGGTGGCTGGATGGAGTCACTGAAGCAGGAGGTGTGAGCTTTAAGGGACTCCAGAAGATGGTAGAGGACAAGAAGGCCTGGAAAAACGTTGTCCATGGGGTCGCGATGGGTCGGACACGACTTTGCAACTAACAACAACATAGCTCCCATTAATCTATTCAAAATGCATCGCTACTCACCTCAATCCAGTTGGTGAGCCAGTAACAGTTTGGATCCGTGTTTTCAACTGTGAAAAGTACATTTCCTCTGGGAATGACGAATCCCTCGGGAACAGCTTTTATTTCAATAGGAAGACGGCCATCGTACTTCTATTGACGTAAAAAGAGCGGCATAAGGAAGGTTTTGAAAACACTCAAATAATACCATCTATTTCGCTGGATAATAAACAGGCTTTAATGTAAATACGTGGTAACTTGGTACTCATCGGGTCCTGGAGGCGCGAGGAGTACCCAAAACTATGAGTAGCAAACAAATTTTTCCCATAAGGAATAATGTAGTGAGTCACAAGGCAGCTGACACGGACAAGTTCTAGCTTGTGCTTCGAGTATGGAACAAACAATGAGTAGCGGGGCAAAATTTTCACATCAAAATGCGTTGAGTATCAAATTCGATGAGTTAAGTACGAAGTACTACCGTACACATTTTTTTTTCCTAACAGTTTACGAAGTACTACTGTACACATATTTTTTTTTCCTAACAGACACTCAAAGATACTGCTACAGATTTCCCTGGTTTGCTTAAAAGAATGTTGAATAATAATGTCATCTTTTCAATTACCATTTTTTAAAATATTGTTTTAGCCAAACTAGCGACATATTTTTGGTATGAACAGAATGCTACTTTGGAAACAAAACGATGATTTCCCCAAGGAAGACAAACTTCCTAAAAAGAAATAAATAGGTTTATGACCTAGCAGGGGAAAAAAAAAATCCAGAACAGACTGAGAACCTCCACAGACCAAATCAACCCAAAAGATAAATCTCTGGCCGTTTCACAGAGAACCCTCTTTTTAATAAGTGCCTGTCTGCCGAGGGACACAAAGTTTTTTTACTAAACGTAAATATGAATTCGTTTTTACCTCAAGAATATAGTTCCATCCTGTTTCGTTGAAGACGTCGTCTTGAAAATGTTCCTTGTACACTGCTTTGGCTATCTGTATTTTCTCTTTGGTTACCACTTTGCCTATGAAACAAGTCAAACTTGATTATATACTCAAAGAAGGCCCCTTTCAGACACGAGTTATCTACCCTGAAAGTTGGTTCGACAATATATGTTATTGTGTTCTAGATCAGAGGTCCCCAACCTTTGGGGCACCAGGGACCGGTTCCGTGGAGAGAGATTTTTCCGTGGACCGGAGGGGGCATGGGTTTGTGGGTTGCCTGCATCCCACGGATGGGGCTTTGCTTGTTGGTGTCTCCGAACTCCATTCAGCAAGCAGCTATCAACTGCATCAATAGCTACAAAAAAAATTAGCTGCCTTAATAATGAACATTCCTAATCTTGATCCTGGCACAGCCAATCCTCTAGCACGACAAAAAGGATCTCTGTTCCACAGCTAGGGCTGACGTTCAATTAGAATTGATTTTGTAATCTGCCCATTCCAGAAATAGTTGGAACTAAAGTTCCACCACACACTCAAGCATGTTGTTCAAAAATGGATTACTGGAGTTTGACCGTAAAATTTACAACTAAAGGAATTCAGACGTGCCTTTCTTCTTAATTTTGATTTTTAAAAAAATATCCTCCTGAAATTAGAATCTTCAAGCATCTTACATTCCCATGCTACATTTCAGCAACTGGAAGTGTAACAGCAATATTTTGTTTATTAGATACTTGTAGTCTTCACCCTGCACACAAATTCATTGTCTCACTCAAGTCTTAAAGACAAAAGAATAAAATCAGCACGGTGCCTCCCATAAAACGTCCCTTGAATCCAAATTGGAATTGGGAAACAAAACTCATTTTTAAACCTAAATGTCAACCTCTCACAATCGAAGTAATGTGAGTTTGCACTTTTGCATATAAAACATTTTTCCTCCAAACTTCTTTATATAAAAGGAAAAGAGTTTTTGGTTCATTGTTTCTCAAATATTCTGGTAGCTGGAACATAATTTTGCCTGTTGGAAGGTTGCAAAAAGGGGATCACATGATCCCAGGACACTGCAACCGTCATAAATATGAGTCAGTTGTCAATCCTCCGTATTTTGATCACCTGACCCTGGGGTTGATGCAATGGTCATAAGTGTGAAAAACGGTCGTAAGGCACTTTTTTCAATACTGTTGTAACTTTGAACAGCCACTGACCAAACTGTTGTAAGTCAACGACTAAACTGTACTGCAAAATGACATAACTTAAACACAGAAAGTGTGTATTGCAGGTATGAAAATTTAATATATCTGGTTAAGAGCCTTTAAAAGACCCTGGAATAAGCTGTTCCTCAAACTTTAGGAACTGTTTATTATAAAGAACGAATAAAAATTAAAAAAGCTAAGACATAGCTGAATCCAGATCTCGTATTTATATAAGCAATTAATTCAGGATAAAATAAGTGCAGCGCACGTTCAAGGATACTTTTATGACTTATCCTTAATACAAGCCCAATTTAAGACATTTCAAACATTATTCTTATTCCACAAAAGGTAGCAGAGAAATTACAACGCGGAACGACAGCGACAATATGGAAAAATGGCATTTGAAAATCCAGGAGGGGGAAAAAAAAATACCTTGTAAGTATTTATTAAGTATGTACTGCAACCCGTAAAAAACTGTTTCCTCATATTTGACTTTCCTTAACTTGGAGTTCTCCGTCTTCTTTTCGCGACACTCAAAGTAGGAGTAAACTTTGCTCGTATTGGGTGGATATTGTTTGTAATGTGTCACCTGCAATAAGATAAACCGGATTAAGAAAATATTTCAGTCCATAAGAAGAAGGGGGGGTTAAAATTAAACCATGGTGCTACAAGCATTTTTTTTTTCAAGGATCACTTTCATCCTCCAGGCTTGACAAATTCGAGATGGCTCAAATCTCCCCAATTTTAGAAGCAAGGAACATCCATTGCTCCATTTCAGGCTGGCTATTTTGGAGCATTCATTCTTCTTTCCCATTTTATTCCTAACAAAGATTTGTTACTGTTTCTTATACACAACAGCCATCAAAAACAGCCCTTGCCACAATTGAGAAGTGAAACTGACCAGGATTCCGGATAAATGTGAAATATGATAGACAGGATTAATTTTCACTCCGCAGTTTTGCAATTAGATTTATTAGCAGCAGCAAGCAGCAGCATGCTTTTAAGACAAAAAAAAAATTGCATTCAAGCACAGGTTAAGCCTATGTTTTGCTCAGAAATAATTCATTGGACGGAACGAGGTCTGCTTATATTATCACGCAATGTACCCATGTTTTTTATTTGAACTATAAATCTCAAAATCTGTGCCTTGTCAATTAAAAAAAGCATTCTTTAATCTCTCCCGTACACGGTATGCTTTTTGACAAGACCAAATAGCAACGGTGGATGTAAAGAACAAAAAGATGCAAATAAAATCTTATTTTTCTACAATAGGACACAAATATTAGCGATAGAGGCTTGGCTACAATAAGTGAATAGAATGTTTGGTCTCAATGGTAACATGATTGTATTTAAACCTAAACGAATATTAGAAAAAGTGCTTAATTAAAACAATAAGCGCTTTTTGGCTCACAATTTGACCCCAGACTTTTTTTCCAGTAAATGATTCCAATAATCTTCTATATTGGCACATTTTGTTTAAACATAATCATTCCCCCAAACTCCAAACATTCCTTTTTACTTTACCCAGAATGTCTGTGTGATGACATGGTCTCAAGGGAAATTACGTATTCTGACATTTTCAAGGCAAAGGCATTTTATTTCCCTTACCTGAAAAACTAAAAGCTGTAGATTAAAAGATTTTTAAAAGTCAAATTTTCCTTTTCACCCACCACTTATGCTTTTATTTTTTTATTTTAATTTTTATTTTACTTTTGCATTTCTGCCAGCCTGAGCAATGAATGAATTAGCCTGGTCAGTTTCACTCTGTTTCTGATACACCAGCAGAATGATGTAATAGCGTTTGCATTTCCCAACACCGCGAGACAACATTCGATAAGGTACAACATTAAAATAAGGAAAATATAATTAATCCGATTCTTAGGTCTAAAAATCCTTAAAGGTCTGATAAAACATACAGAATAGAAATGACAGTATTGTACACATTTACTTCAGGTACAAAATCGGCAGCATCTAAAATAGAAAAGATGGGTTACTCTCTTTGTTGCTAACAACATTACCCAAAGTTTTACAATGCAGTATTAATAAAGGGTCTGGGTGCTGTTTTTGTCTGTTTGATACATGTCACGCTGCCATTATTATTACTTAGGAGTATCACACTGGTCCTAAGTATCAACATTGTGCATTGTGTGATTCCCATCACACATTTGTAAAATGCTAGCTGCCTATATAATTACCTCCCTTCTTGAGATAGCATGTTGAGGCCCCAAGGCGGATAGGTTTTATGCATCTCTGGCTGGGAAGTGTTTTAAAAATAGTTTTTTTTTTAAAAAAAATAGCATCTCTCTTTTCATATCAGCTGTCCCCAAAATATTAACTCTCCCAGTATTCGTTTTTAATGAATTGCTTTTATTCTGATTTATCCCTTTTGACTGCAAATTTGCAACTAGGCAAACTATTTGAGAACTTAAAAAAAAAATCAAAACATTTTCAAATAGGTACTTAATTCCAAAATCTAACCTAATATCTAATGCCGTATTATGCTTTTCTCCTGGAGTTTTTGTCTTCTTAAGTCAATGTATGTTTCTCTACTTAAACAAAGCTAGAGATTGGTCCATATTTCCAATCAATCTGATTTAAATACCTTTGGGGGGGAAAAAGACTGTTCTATGTGGGTGTCAACCCTGTCTGAATGTAAATGTTATTTAAAGCTTATTTTGGACATTCCTCTTAGCTCTTTTAAAAACTGGGTTAGACAGTTTTTGAAAGCTATTAAAAAAAATAGCCACTGGCCTCCAGAAACTGCAAATGTGAGAACAACTTAATGAAAGATATGCCTCGTTATTTATTTTGTTGACCCCCTTTCTATTTTTCCTTTTAGATTTAACGTTCAGGAAAATATTAACTGGATGGATGTGCAGGAAAAAATGATATTTTTTTTGCTCTCTCTATAAAAGAGTGAATGGTATTTTGAGTATTTTGTATCATGTTTATTTATTTATTTATTTATTTATTTATTTATTGCATTTATATCCCGCCCTTCTCCTTACGGACTCAGGGCGGCTGACAATTGAATAAAATACTAACATATATACATATTATACCTAATTAAAATTTAATTAAAACGAAATATTTAAATATGTCCAATTAAAAGTAATTAAAACCCCTTTAAAATCCCTCAGGCCAGT